TCAAAAGTAGGATGTCCAGTTCTTATCGTGAAAACGATATGTGGTAGATCACTGAGATGGGTTCCAACATTCATAAGTTCTAACTTCATATTCACTAAATTTATATTCCTTTACTGCGCAATATTTTATTGAATTTAATCTAATATTAAAAATGGTTAACATATTAAAATAAGATTATACAACGCTTATCCCATTATGCAGAATTATTTTATGCTTTTGGATAAGATAAAATATTGCTACATGAACAAAGTAGGTTCTAGTAGTTATATTTATATGTTAATTACTCAGTCAGTCAGCTACAACGTAGGACCAGGCACATATATGCATCGGTCCAAGTTGCCATACCTCATTAGTGCAGCAAGATGAACACCGGATTCATAGAAGTAGTTAATTCATTGATGGTAATATATAAAAGAAAGATTGCATATAAAGACATAGTACAGGAAGAAAGAATTAGTTCGTAGAAAGAAAGATGTGAAGCGATTTTAATCTCATAGTTTAAGGGAAGACAAAGAGTGTATACACCTACGTCATTGTTATTGGTTCTGAGCCATGTCACCCAGAGTACTGATTGTTATTCGTACCTAATAACCCATTTATATTACATCGGAATAGATGATGCTTTTTTATGTGTTACATTTCCCGAGAAGTAATTTGTTTCTGTTACTATTTAGATCGTTTCGATGCAGACCATCCACCTATGCATCCTTTGCAAGATGATTCTGTTTGGTATATAGATACTCCAAGACGTCAGTATATAAGTTTTCATTCTGCAGCTTTACATAATGACATGGGTAAGGTGTTTGTTTAATTCTCTATTATTTCTATTCTTTATATAAATTAGTTATTTTTTCTTTTCTGATGACCACTTTTTTATTTTCAAAACCTATTTTGTTACTTGTGTAATAACTTAACAGATTATGACATTCGTCGCTTTATGCTCTTATCTCTTTATAAGATGAGAAATCGGCTGAATAGTAGATAGATGGGGAATGAGATCAATGTGTATGACTAATTTCTTACATCAACATTTTATGCATTGAAATTTGAACAAACTTTAAATACTTACCAATATTAAGATTAAGTATCCAAAACTTCACAAAATTGTTAATTAAAACACGTTTTAAACTCACTGACTTACTAAACATAGTCAATTCATCACCAAAATAAGATAAAATACCAAATCGTGTACACATTTATTTATGGCAAAATAGATATGTTATCTCGAATTTCAAGAATCTCTGCTACTTACACTTGAAAAAGTAGTTTAGAATGATTAGAAACATCTATAGATTAAAGCATCTAACTTTGGTTATGTTATAACTTGTGAACCTATGTGCCCTGTTTATTGTATAACGCAACGATACCACCAATCAGAGAGCAGCGAATTATCAATCGAACCAGTGACGCATAAAACACGTGCGAACAGCCTAGAGTCCTTATTGATCTCGCTTCCTGTCTAACCCAGCCAGTTAAATCCAGAACATCAATCTCAGCCACTGCAATATGAATTATTTATTTCAAACATACTGGGTTTATATATCAACCAGACAGACCACAACGTACCATGAAATAGGAAACAACATTTGTGCAAGAATTAGCCAAATGTGACTGTGAATGAGGGAGATAGCATTGAATAGACAGGCCATAACTCAAGAATGGCAAATCGTATTATAATAGTTCATAGGTCAAAATAAAGCTCATAATAAGAGGGACATGAATATAAACAGATTAGTTACATAACAATTACACAATAAAAATATGCGTATCGTTTTGGTCCATAAATGAATCCCAAACAACTACCATTCATTATTCTTATCGGGATATAACAGGTTATCGTATAAATTAAATATAATTTCAAATATATTATTGTGAACGACGAGACTATAGTTTATGGACGAACCAACCAGGTAAAAGATGACAGGTCTGAGATTTTGGCACGAAATTCATCCATCCATTTGGCACAATACCGTTTTGGCATTATAGCTGATGCCAGTTCGTGACGAAAATCCTAAATCTAATTAATTCCTAACCTTAACCATACACTGTATATCATAATTCTAATTCCTCACACAAGTTTATAATCTTCATTTAGTCCTGGTTAGTAGGTGGACACTCGCAATATCACTTTGGCTTCGCTCAAAGGTCGTCCATAAATTATAACCTCACCATCGTGAACAATTCCACTATCATTCAAGTTTCAATATTTTTTAAATGATCAATTACATATTTAAACCTTAAGGTTGTTTATACCGAAGAGGTGAACTTTTATCTAATAAGTAGTTTTATTTTCCAACTTTATGGCAGAATGATATAATCACCGCCATCATTGTAATTTTCATTATTATAAAATGATTATTTGTTTTCATTGTTATTTTCATTATAGATTCAATTCGTTTAGCTTTATCTGAAGGATATAACATTGATACAAGAGATAAATTTTATAAAACGCCTTTAATGATAGCAGCACATCATGGTAATTTAGACACAGCTATTGAACTTATCAAATTAGGGTAAGTTAATTATTTTCATAAGTTAATTGTTACCTATGAATTCTTAATATTGATGTAATCTAAAAGTGATATAATTCTGAAATCAATTAACAGTTGCTAGCCACTATCCATCTTTGCTTATAATGCTTGTGAATTAAGGCAATATCGAGGCAATACGCAAAGTATGCACATATGCCAATATTAGACTGATCAATTTCAGTCCTAATCATCAATGAAAAGATTCAAGTAAACAATACCAAGTGAAGTTCATTACATTGTTATGTTTATTCAATTACCAAATAAATGACATCAATAAGCTAATACTAATAAGTCAAACAAATTATTTGATTTACTTCACTAAGGTTATCATAATTGATATTCAAAAAAGCACTAGCAACAATTGACAATCGGAAGTTTCATACTTAGAATCTTTCAATGAATTACCTTTAATCATAGTTACTAAATAATATATAGTGTACAATATAATAAATATAATATGTTTATCAAGAAAAACACTATCTGTCAGCACAATTAGACATTATTAAGATTTAATATACAAAGAAATTATAGAATATAAAAATCAGTAGATAGATCAATATGCTCGGAGGCACTGGATGGCCGAGTATAGGACTGTACAACAGTGGACATACACAAATTTGCATCCGTGAATCGAACCTAGGACTTCCTATCTCTAGCGTAAATTACAAATCTCCAAATCACTGCGCCAGTATTTGATGGTGAACATACTCAACTGCGATCACACCAGACATGCTTGAACCCTACTAGTCACGGCTTCCCTCTAGAATTTCAGGAGTTGCATCCTGAAGCTGTTCACAAGGAGTACATAATTATTATAACTACAAAAAGTTTTGTGAAAATTCCAGGTTTTCAATGGTGGTATTGTTAAAATTAGTTTATGATTTAGCTATCATTTATTGGCTTATCACTGGTACTTCATTTAACTGAAATAATAATAGTACTGGTTATTCTAGACTACTTTGAAATTGACAAAAATCTAGTTGTAAGTATAAACAAAATTAAACGTTGTCCTTAATGTTGAAACCAGTATCTTCGTTTTTCCGTAAATACTATAATTTCATGAATCTGTTGTAGAGCAAATGTTAATGCACGTGATAATTTCCGTTGGACACCATTACATCATGCAGCTCACTCAGGAATGATTGATATGGTTGAATTATTATTAAATAATGGTGCATTAATTGAAGCAAAAGCATTAAATGGTGCAACACCATTATTTCGTGCTATTGAATGTTCAAGACTTAATGTAGTCGATTACTTCTTATCAAAAGGATCTAAATTATTTGTAGAAACACGTAAAGGTGAGACAAACTGTTAACGGGATTTATTTTTATTTTAATTAGTAAATTGTTTTATTAACTGATGAGAAACAACTTTAATTGTAAGCTTTAGACTGGATTCAGATTAGGATAGTTAACATGCAGATTGTAAGTGTATTTTTCGATCTTAATTTCGTTAAACACTTCTGAAGCGATCATAAGATTTGCGGAGAGCCTTAATACAGTAATTGCAATGTATATAACTAATGAGCCAGCGATTAAATGAAGTGTAAAACATCAAACTTAAGATAAGGTTTTACAGTAGAAGGACTTTCAAATACTTTTGGATGTATGTAGAATATACAAAAGGTAGCTAACGGGATACATTCGTACGCATACTAATGATTAATTAAGATTTGGTACTTATTTGCCATGTCATCTAGTGACATGCTAGGATCTTAATCCAAACGACTCAATAGCCGTGTTCTATTATCTGTAATTTTTTATCACTGTAAACTACAAGTGAAAATTAAAGCTTTGAAATGGTCTGCTGTCAGCGACATTAATCGGAATCGTTCACATTCATGGTTGACAATATGAACATGAACTAGGAAATCATCAGTTTCGTACATTACTGGTTTCAAAAATCTGTATCGATGATTTAATAATGAGTTGTCAATAAACTTTTGGCTTAATGACTGTATGGTATAATTGAAAGAGCGGTCGTATGAATTTTGAGATAGTGTTAAGTTACAGTATTTGTTCAACTCAACTGGACCCAATTTTCGAAGTATGTGTCGAACTTTCCATGCATCATTATGCTCGGCAAAATCACATTTGAAGAGATCCTCATGCCAACTGAACCATTTGTCAAATGTAACATTTGACTCTGGGTCATAGCTGAATTAAGCAATGCTGTTTGCAACACCTTTGACAGACGGTGCATTACTGAGAGCAGATGTAATAGATGATTTTGTTGCTATGTGGTTCACGTTTATCACCAATCAATCAAAAAGCATTTATTTTATCGATAATATTTCAATAAGGAATTATTATAATATTTGGAGATAAGTATTTGTCATTAACAGATAAAATAATGTAATAGATCTGGATGTCATAAAAACAGTATTTTATGTATTGTATCTTACAGATATTTCTGAAATGAGTTTAATAATAAATTGTGCGTTACTGTGGCGACAGTAAACACGATCACGTTTTCAAATTTTATTAAATTGATTTTGTGCTTCACAAGTATATAGATGCATGCATCATACTATTCTGGAAGTTAGATTGTACCTGATTTAAATGGATGACTTCATAATCGAAAACATGATCTCTCCAAGTAGGCAAGAAATATATAGGAAGAAAATGACTGTATGATAATTTGTATTTTATTACAGGAGAAAACCCATATGTAGTGGCATTGAATTGGTCTGATCCAAGAGTAATAGAACATGTACATGATAAGTGGGAATTAGCACAAGAGGCAGCTGATAAACAGAAGAAACAGGGCAGTGCAAAACGCAAAGTAAGTTTATTTGAATATTATTAATAATGGTAATATAATACTTCGTGAACACCTAATTGAGTCAATGTAAAAAAAATTCATGGAGTTGTTGTTACGTACCAATCTAATTTATCACTAAAATTTGGAACAGAAGACCCTGATCCACAAATTTCTGTCATATCTCTCTTATACACGATTGTCGTACTGTTATTGTCTTTGCAGGATTACTTTAAATCTATGATAACATTTTATAAGCAGAAAATTTGATCGTTTTTAAAAGCTGCTTTTGATGACTCGGACTGATTTCAATTACTGTAGTAAGAACCCTAAAAAATAAAAAAGTGTATCTGTTGGAGACGTTAGTGTTTATCATGATTCAATAGCACAATGAACTAGACTTCAGTGTTTAAGGCAGTGAGTTCGATCCTCACTGTAGCATCAACACCGAAATAAAGTAAATCTACCTGATAATTCCCAGAATGAATTTAACGTGACTCCTGGATTCCTTTTCAATATATTGTCCAGAAGTATAATGTTGTATATACTACTTCCTTGGATAGTTTATTAGTATTTTAATCATTATATATGATACTTTTCTCTCTACCTCTTCGCAACAACGGTGTTTCAGTTTTAATTGGTGTATTCTACATTCATGAGTTTTGACAAGTCAATAAAATAAGTCTCAAGATTATAATTAAGACTTGATAACGTCATACAGTCCTGTGGTTTTTCAACCAATAAAAGGAATAAGTAACTAGGCGATATGTTCAAGTTGAATGAAGTAGTTATTGTCAATGACGAAAGTTTAATTTGTGGGTCTGTTGAAAAGTCAACGGTGAGCATAAACCATTATTGTTAATCTTGATGCTCATTGACCTACAAGCTACGGAATTGAAAGAAAAAAACGATAGCTATATATATCAATAAACCACAAATTTATTTATTACCTTGTTTTCAAAATTTACCAATTTTCTATTAACAAATATGTTAAGTAGGAAAAATCAGACATTCATTTTTATTCACATTACTTTCTGTTATATGGATACGTTCATCTGTTAACTTGCTGTAAAAAGTAAATATTCTACTATTTAATAATTGAATTTATGAGTCAATTGAAGCTAGGCCACTATGGAAAACTTAAAAGCACTGGACGGCCGTTTCATTTTAGTATGGGACTCCTCAGTAGTGCGCATTCACGATCTCGCCCCTTGTGAGATTCGAACCCAGGACCTATCAGTCTTGCGCGCGAAGGCTTAACTTTTAGACCATTGAGTCGGCATCCAATGATGTTAGTGTGTGACTTCAACCAATCCATGAATTCTACTATTTCAATACAAACTACCTTATGTACAGTTGTATTTCCAAAGGAGACTTTAAGATTTCTAATAAAATACTCTATGAATGCTAATTAATGGATATAATAGACAATAATACAATTTGTTCGAGTAATGTCTTGTCTCAAGACTAAATTTTTTTGATTTAAACCGTTGAATGTGAATCGATTTTAAATGCAAAGGATAGTGTTAAGTAGAATAGGTTTAATTCATTTAATGAATTAAAATTCTTATATAAAGAATATGTTATAACTTGCTGCCATGTTTCCTATTAACACAGAAATAACATGATTGCATTTTATAAACAATTGAAGTATATCAACTTTGTAGGTTTATTCATTCAGAAACCAATTTTTAAGACAACTTACCATATATAGTCTAATGATTGTTTATTATAACAGATTAGTGTATTTCTTCTTCCTTTCAATTCTTAGTATTTGTTTGAGTACATTATTTTTTTTTGTAAAATAATCCAATCCAATAATATTTGTAATAGGCTTTCTTTTTAATAGTAATAATAATAACGGTCGTCCAGTGCTTCTAGGTTTTCCATGGTGATCAAGCTTCAATTGATTGATGTATTCAATTATTAAAATGACCAAAATCTTCACAAAATCCCCTTCTGATAGTAATAATATTAGCTTATCATTCATTTTTCAAGGGGACATTGATTTTATTGTTATTTTAAGTATATTTGAAATACTTTTATTTCCCTATCTCTTGTTTACAATATAAAAACAGAGATAATAAATAAAATGGTAAGAATTTGAGTTTCCTTGTGTTGTTTTTCTTACATTTCATAATCACTATGGTTAGTAAAAGTGTTTGAATTAATTTGAATTTTTTTTTGTAGCTCATGATTTATTAATTGGTGATTTTCAACATTCGGTTAATTTAAAATGTTTTCTTTTCTTTTTTTTCTCTTTAACAAGAAACAATAACTACTCAAATTCACTTGGTTTTGTTTTACTTGTATCGTCTCATTGTTATTTAGGACTGTAATTGATCAGTCTCTTGTTAGCATATGTGTATCCTGTGTGGGTTGCTTCGATATAGCCTTAAGTCACAAGCTTTTTAAGCAAAGATGGATAGTGGCTAGCAGTAGAGTCCAGGACGCACGTATCGTCTTATTTAGGACTCGTCAGCTGGATGTACCTACATCTTAGATTTGATGTTCACTCTGGGATGCAGGTACATCCAGATGAAGAGTCCTAATTAGGACGAAACGCGCGTCTTGGATCCCACTATCTATCTTTACTTAAAATAGCTGTTCAAGTTTCGATAGAGCAATGAGAAGCCGGAGTTGATTTTAAATATATAAGATATACTTGCTTTATACATCTCGAACAATCTGGTTACATATATATATTTGTCAGGGCATTTTATATGAAGAGTAATAAAGGTCAATTAAATGAAAGTTCAAGTAAACAAGGAGAGAAATGCTTCTAACATCGTGTAGAAAGAACATGATATTGTCGCATTACCCTAGGCCAGGGTAAATTCAAGGTTATGACTAATTGTTTTTGTGCACATAAGGTGAGTTTCAATTTACGAATAGCCAAGACTTCCATAAACCTGAGAATTCGTACTTAACTATTTCTATACAACGCTTTGAAAGCTGTATTGATGTCAGTCCTATGCTCCGTTTCAATTGTGTTTTGCTATCGATGAACATGTTTTTCTACTTCCCACATTGATCGGATCATTTGACATTAACTGGTTTTGAAGTCATCTAGGCACATGTTTCATGGCCCTTGATTGCATTGCTTGATTACTCCTCCCTATGTGTGTGGGTCCGCACAAACATGTAAATTGGTAAATGCAATCGGATATGATGTAATCACTTGTGTATTGTCTACGTCTATTTGTAATCATGGGCTTACAATTTTCAATCGCAACCAGCTTAATAGGTTTTCTCGATATCTGCTTTCAATCTTTGTATTAAAACCATACTGTTAGATTCATCACTATATGGCAGATAGATATAAACTTTTCTACGGGACCGAATCAACAAGAAGTCTTAATGTTAACTGACTTTCGCGCCTATTTATAACCTTTAGTGGATGACCATTTTGTGTTAGTGTGTCAGTTAGCCGTGGCAACTATATGTGACCAGATTGTTCGAAATGTATAGTGCAAACACATCTTATATATTTCAGATCAACTCCATCTTCTCATTGCTCTATCGAAATTTATAAAAGGGACTAATCGCTTTAAACTGTTCAAGTATTAGAACTTAGTCGGTAGGTTGAAATCAAGTTTCGGATAATTCATTCACACATAAATAAATCTGTTAGCAGTTAAAGATAAATTCATAAATCACATTAAACTATGGTTTATCTATTATAGACTAATTTATTTTTGATAAACATAGTTGGTGGTACTGTGTACTTTATAAGTACTTCTGATTATCAGTTCAAACTTTCTTTTAGGTAATAACTTTCAAACCATTCGTATAGCAAAGGCTACAACAAACTTAAGTATTCATACTAAACCCATTCTAGATTGAACTAAAAAGTTGATTATGTACTTATATGGTGATACAAAACAAAAAACAGATTCAAATGACTAAATAGAACAGATAACAAACATCTATTTCCCCCTACTTCTAAAAGTACAGTCGAAATGGCTAGTACGACTGATCTCAATTCACACTTTGCATTATTGTATAGAGGTCTACAGTGAAAATATAAACTTGCTGAAAGTGTAGTCAGACGAATATAATATTCACTTTACGAAAATACTTGTTCAAATGAAAATTCCGTGCAAATATGTCACACATTATTGTTCCAGTTAAGATTGCATAGTAAAATCCCATTCTGTGAATCAAATTTTCTATGATAATTTAAATGCTTATTGTCATTGAGTGAGTTGGAAAAAGCATATACAGTGTACCTGGAACGTCTATTGGTTCACATAGTACCCGAGAATTCTGTTGTACTCACGATTCTTTACGCATCAATTCATAAGCTGAAGTTATCAAATATCCCCTAGTTAACGAAATTGTCGTCCAGTGCTTCCAGTTGTCAGTGGTGGTTTAGCTTAGATTGACTCATGAATTCAACTTTGAAAATACTACAATCTCCACAAACCCCCATTTTGATAATAATCATGTGCTTACTAGTGACTAGCTTCAGGATGAATTTCATGGAGTTCTAGTGAGAACTCGTGACCAGTGGAGTCCGATCCGCGTCGGGTGTGAGATAGTTATCCACCTCAGACAATGGATGAAGGGGTCGCGCAAGATCATGGATCTATTGAAGTTAGACATTAGCACAGTTGCATGCTGGCTCAGTGGTCTAGAGATTAAGCGTTCGCGCACGAAATCGAAGGTCCTGAGTTCGAGTCCTGCGTACAGGATCGTGGATGCGCGCTTCTGACTAGTCTTGTCCTGGGACCAAACGATTGTTTAATGCTTTCAGATTTTCAATGGTGATCTAGCCTAGATTGACTCATGAATTCAACTTTGTAAAAAACTGTCTAAATTAAGTGTTTCAACCTAAATCGTACATGTTGTTCAGAATGAGAATTTCATGTTTCGAATAGCTATTAATCAAACAATGTATCAGTATTTATTAAATTTATAAAACTATAATTTCACATCATAACGCTTAGTTTTCGTATGAGCTGTTGCACAGTCGAATTTCTTAAATATATTTAGTTCGTTTTAAAGCATTTCTGTTCGCATAAAATTTACTTACGGTCAGTTTAATAATACAAATATAGTTTCTATGTACATTGAATCATATACCGTGAATGCGTTTACAATAAGTGTGACAATATTTAAATTAAAAATTGTTTATTTGTTTAAATTCACTGAAGAATTGAAGTCGTCAGGACTAAAATTAGTGATTTTTATCTGTGTATCGTGTAAAACTACTATTGTTCATGTACCCATTTATATTACCGGCAGTAAATAGTTGATTACTATTCATTCGAATTATCGTTTCTTTTTCTACATACGAAACAACTTGATCAATCTGATAAATAAACTGGCCTTCTATGTAGCACCACATAAGTCAACCTGCTATATTTTGTCTCTTTCGACAATGAAGGTCACGATTCATTCATAACGATTAATTAATATTTCAAGACCTTATAAGAATACTTTTTCACATGTTATTTACATACAGTTCTAGCAGTAACTGATTAAATTCCATCAAGAAAATTTTATCAGCTATCATACTAGTGAATTGCAACAGTGATCAACAAAAACTTATCCACAGTTAAACCATTAATATAGATGATTGAAGCTGAACTGCGTCAAATTACTTAACATTCAAAATTAACTACAAAACTCTTGAGTCTCTGACATAAGTTTATCAAACTTTTTAAATGTATCTTACAGATAGGTGTCAACAAGAATGGAAAATTAGCTGCCAGTCTCCTAGAAACAATACAGCATAAATATTATATGTAATTTAGCTAAATAACTTGACCACATACGATTGATGCTAACAAATTTCAATTGTATCTAATGACTAGAATGTATAAAACTGACTATCTTCTTCTAGAAATATATTTCTTTTTACTGAATGATACTTGCATAGTCTATTATCATCTACCAATTGTTGTAAACATATTACTTATCTCTGATATATTTTAACTTTTATTCCATAATCTTTTTCAAGAGACCAACTACAGCTGGATCAACTAGTTCAAGTAAACGTTCAGTTTCTCCTACTAGAAAATTCACTCCACCAAATAATTTACCTGGTTTATATCCAAATTTAATGCAGAAACATTTTGATTTATCTTATTTAATTAAACATACATATTCTTTAGAGAAAACTATAAATAGACAAGATATTCGTATATGTCCTCGTTATCCATGGCTACCTAAACTAAATCGTGAGGAAAGATTAGCTAAGTTAGCTGAAGCACGTGAACGATATGGATGGGATTATGGTTTACCTAATGTACCATCGCACTTATTTGATAAGCACTTAATGAATCGGTTTCAAGAGATTGAATTGAACAGTGGAGAACAGTAGGGAAACATGATGCCATTTTTTGCCAATGATTATTATCATGAAAAGCATACTTTATAATAACAATAATAATAAAATAAATTAATCAAATTTGATAATGAAATAAATTAGTATTTTCCTAGTAGACTTATTTTACTGAATTTACACTATTCGAATGAAGTAAGTAGAAGGTAATCGAATTAGTTAGATGCTTTCCTAGTTAAATATGAAGAGAAATATTTAGACATTAGAGAAAATCAACTGGCTTTACGGCTAGTTGGTTAATAATAAATATACTTTAGTTGTAACAATTAAAAAAATAGAACTTTTTAAGCTACAACCTTCTTGTTACTCATTAGATCGAAGTGAAACACTTTCAGTCATCTATATCAATTATTACTAGAGAGATTTAAACAACTGGATGACAGAGAATGATATCTGAAATAAGTAAATAAACACGTCTTATTACGGAAATCATAATTTCTTGACTAGTAAGTAATCGGACAAGTGGAATCGATAGTGAAAATGATCGGATGTTCGTTGTACGTCATATTAATATAAACTAATAGAATAACTGACACAACGGGGTGCACTTAATAAGATACACATTCACAGGTTTGTTTAGAATGAACCCTGGTAGTTGCCAATGGATTATTTAGTAAACAGAAATAACCAAACATACACATGAATTGATTGCATTGAATATGAATAAAGTGGATAAACATGTATGGAGAATTTATCAACAAGCACATCACATCACAGACAGGTACAAAAGATACCTAGAAAAATGAATCCTAACAACCAGATCAATGAATATAGATTTAAGCAACAAATGATAAGAGCTTGTCTACATCCTGTTTCAAATAGTGGCTATCCTTAACTTGTCGAATAAATGAACACAGTAAAGATTAAGAGATAGATTACTCATGATTTGGTAAAATCTATTGAAAACATCATTCATTCTAGTCTGCTATTACTTACTAAAAATATAAACGATCAATAAATGGTCTTTTTGAAGTTGCACATACAATAGATACACCGATCTCCTAATCTTAAACACTTGTTAAGAGCAATTTATTGTTCTACATATCCATATTGCTGAGATTCCATGTTCATTACAATTATATTAATATCAGGTGGCTGGTGAGAATGATGCGCAGTTACCATTTTACAATAAAACTCACAGAAGCAATGTAACTATTAACAAAGTTAAGATTCTGCTAGTAATACTACAGTAGAGACGATAGTTTCTTCTTTCTAGTTAATAAGTATAACATTTCAAAAAATTTTATTTGATGCATTCTGCTTCAAAATCATTCCTAGTTGTCAATCCAATGGATTTTTCGAGGCAATGAGGTTGAAATGAATTCAATATCCATATAATTGAGATTTCTAAACTGGCGACATTTTTCTAGTCAGTTTTAAATGACCAACACTTTTATTAGCTTACAAAATACTTATGTAAGAATTAGAAGACAGTTGAATTCATCTCCATCCCTCACCTCATCACTTCCCATCACACTGAACTATAAAGAATGATTATTAATTTAGTGAAAGCATAATTCTTTCCATAAATTTCGAACGAATCTAAAGTTGTGATACACAAATGATTAGATGAGAATTTACTTGCTTGATGGGTATAAAAGCGAAACAAATTGATGAATACAATATTGTTGATCCATTACATCAGTTACTATAAATCAAAATTTAGAGTAGGTATAAATTTCCGCTTCATTTAACGATATCATGTAAGATATAAAACTATTTTAGTGAAAAGAATTCTACATTTTAATTTACATCAGAAACAGTAGTGTTAAAACACTAATTACTATCAATCATTGTATCTTAACAATCCATGGCTCTATCATTTTTGATCAAGGTAGCTTGGTAGTATTGTAGTAAACAAGAACACGAGTAAGGACGATCGAATGTCTACGACACGAAATTACAGAGCATTTCACTAAAATTTGAGAACCACATATAGTAACTAGTTAATTTGGAAAATATCAATCCATCGTCGCAAACTTAACTGTTCCTTTTGCAAATATCAGTCAATTGTTTCACATTACATTGTTCATGCCTTTTCATACCAATTGCGTTCCGTTCCCGTTCTTTCCGTATCGATCTTCTATTGAAATACATTCTATGCCTGACACCGTTATATACTACTTATATGGATATAAGTAACCCACACCAAAATATCATTTAATCCACATAATACCGAGAAGACTAGAAACAAAGCTTAGCATATTATCCAGTTGTACCCAACTATTAGGTTACACAATATTGAATAGATTTAAATGCTATACACCTCATCATGATAATAAAATGTTTCATATAATAGGGTCAATTTTTTTTCACTTTTCGTTTAAATAACAGAAATCCACAATAATCTGAAGACTTTTATTTTGAATTTGAGAAAAACAGAAGCGGATGAGATATAAGTAAATGTTCATATACATAACATATGAGCTGTAATACTACTATTACTATTATTATTAGTAGTAGCAGTATTAGTAACATTTAATACATTTTATAAGGCACCAGCTGTTATATGAGAAATTTTCATTGGATAATAATTTGTTCTGTCAAATTGTTGTACAAAAGATTTCAATCGACTTACATGAAATGAACAATGTTTCGGTGTAATATTACATTCATTCGATAAATTATATAGATTAGATGAATAATTGTTTGTAGATGAACGGTTACTGCCACTGGTGCTCAACACCGACTGACCATTAGATGTTTGTATCATGAACCAATAAAAGAAGATATCTTCACATGTATCTAAATCATCTATAAATGCTTTGATAGAACTTGCTAAAAGATCTGTATACAGATGTAAATAATGCTGCGTGTCCGGATAAGATGGAAAGGGAAAACAAGCACATTGTTAGTTTATCGATAATAATTAAAATTATTGGTTTACACAGATATAAATTACACATAAAATGACAAATACCAAAAGTTTATAACTAAAAAATAGACGATATTGTAGTTCAATGCATCATATTTAGTTATTTAAACACATAAACATTGGTAAAAGGAGGTACCAAATATGTATGCGCCACGCAAATCATTCGAACTGTGTAGGGGTTGAAATACTGCCTGGGAACCCAAACCGAAGCAGATGGTTTTCTTAGAGGGCCACACCCCAAGCATTTGACCTAGAGATTTAATCCACAGGGCAGTGGAACAACTTCAGGAAGCACAGTTCAATCGTAACTGGTAACCAACGATTGGTACATACGTCATTTGTTCCCTCGGGATCTGGAGCCCATGTGAACCATTGGTTTGGAATCAGTTTAAGTGCCGGACATTCGCTTTCCCTCACTTATGTAAACAACAATCCGCCGAGAGAAGGCAGTGAGTAGGACTTCTCTGGAAGTGGCTGTATACGCGCGGCCATGTGAGAGCATCTTGAGGGTGGAAGCTGACCCTCCCCACTCTCGACCGTACCAGGGAATTAACGTCAAACGCTTTACTGAAAAGGTAGGTAAACAGTAGTAGTAGCATGCTGAGAAACAAATTAATTCCGGTATCACAATGCTTGAACTCGAATCTAAACTAGCAAACGCGTGATCGCTAGAGCAGACTGTTATTAAAAAGGTGGTCACTGTACAAGTTATTGGCTTTTATATCTATTTCAAAACAATAATAATCGATCATATCTTTTTTTTAAATGATCAATATTATTGGGCGACAGGTATGAAAAGTGCAAATGGGAAAGGTGTGTAAAATTCTTCAATGTCGCGGCAGATGGGAATAATAAGCTTAAACCCCAGACGTTTCAATGTTACTCATAACTATGAATTAGATTTAACAGGAGATTTATATATAATATTTAGTGTTGTGAAGGGGTACTGAAAGTGGAATTATAACGCTGGCTGTGAGACAATATGACCTAGGGATACTAAATTATACAATCACTGGATATTTAGACTGCTTGATTAGGTCACGAACAAAATATAGAGCATAGTACAGGGCAGGCTAAATTTTATTTAACGCAATTACAAGTAGCCCACAAACTGTGAAGACGACAACAGAAATCGATTATGGAAACTAATTCACTTATTAAATAGTTAGTAAGCTGAGCGCATTAAGTAACAAAGATAGAAGTTAATGGTGTTGAATACCTACATTGGGAATGTGGGTAAAAATAAAAGATCTAAAGTAAATTACAATGTTACTACATTTGAATGATATAAGGTTAACACAGAATCATGAAAGTAGTGACTGAAAATAATGAAACAATATTAACAGCATATGCATTAAACTCATCATGAAAAAATGTCTTGGTCTAGTATGTTATCGCTAATCCTACTGAGTTTCTTCTGAATCGTCTTTACGACTTCAGATTAGTCAACAAATTAACAGGCTACTGATTACATTTACATTTGGAAGTCCGTAAAAATATTGAAATCACATTCATATGTCCTTGCTGACATATATTTATTATATTTCTGTATAACAGGTTGTAGTGGAATTCGAAACATGTGTTTCGTTCATCCTAGAACTCATTATCTCTGTGGTCGTCCCCCAGTGTTCACAGCGAGTCTCGAATTCAACGCGAAAATCAACGCTGCAAACACTAAATCACAGTATACACCCTTTGTTAAATTTGTATGACATTTATTATTATTTATAATGATTAATGTTCTCTCGTGGATAAGGTATAGACTTTTGAAACGATAGGTACTCGATCCGAGTTTCAACGTTAACATTGGGAGACAGATACATATATCTATCTAACGCCAAATGAAGCGAACCGTATTTCTTCAATTTATCTTCTACAAACTGTTCAAAAAGTAACAAGCTTACAACTGCAGACGATATAGATCGATTCAGTCAAGGAGCCTATATATCAACAGAGACATCGAATTCAGTTCTGAATATCAAAAACAGGAAAACAAAAAATCATCACGAACAACATTAATAAGAAATTAATACATGTACATCACCATACTGATGATGTACATGACATCCTGATCCGATTTCGCAAACGTAGTATCAATAATACGAACATTTATCAGAACATAAGTATTATGACACATGAAAATTGATGTAGTGTTTTATTATGAATAGACTAATATTTAGACGATAAATGTCTTGAAGAGTGATACCTGGTACACTGAGGTCAGTGAGATAGTAATGCTGTTATAAATTCAATAGCCTATGGTTGCGTCGGATACGAAAAATGATGTCGTTGTAAACTAAAGTGTATTATAGTAAACACAATGACATATATTTATAAGAACTTTCGTTTGAATTTGAACGAACAGTTCCACAGTATTCGAGAGCTAAGTTAATGTAAGACATTAGGGAGAAAGAATATATTTGTAAAACCTCAGAGATCAAATTTAAAGTAAATCCAACATTTCACTCGGCAATCTAGTCTAAGCTTTTCCAAGGAAATATAATCAAACATCAACACTACCGAATATAAACAGTTAACCGTATACTAAAAGGGTCATCCAATTATGTTAACAATTTTTAAAGTAAGTGTTCGCTTTAGTGTGTATCAGACATGTGGTGTGGAACAAAAAGTGTGTTAAGATAACAGATTGTGTGTATACGTAAGTGGATCTGAGATGTGAGAAGAAATTCCATTGATTATTTATCGCCTCTGATCGGTGAGTCTTTAAAAGAAAACATACAATTTTTATGTATGATATAAATTAAATATATCACATCATGAATAAAATGAAGCAGTCAATAAATGTTTGTGTTATTTTTTGCTGTTCCAGTTAATTGTTCAACATACTTCAAATTCAATCGCTAAGATTTTACAAATATATTCTTCCTACTTAATTACATATATTATTAACATTACTGTAATTCTTTAAAATCACTTACTTTATGGAAAAACACTGATGAAAAACTAGCAGAAAAGGATTGATTATTATCAAATAAATTCCAGATGGATTGATCAGATAAGCTTATTAATCGTTCAGGATTTTGGCACCATAACTACAAAGTAATAATAATTATCACAATAATACTTATATGATCAGTATTGAACATTTTTATTAAAGAGTAAAGTTTCTTTCTTTAAAAAAAAGTATCTAGATGAGATTAACCAGTCAGTCATTCAGTTACAACTTAGGACCAGGCACATACATGGATCGGTTCAAGTGGCTACACCTCATAGCACAGCAAGATGAACACCGGATTCATGAAGGTAGTTAATTCAGAGATGGTAATATATAAAAGAAAGATTGCATATAAGGATATAGTACAGCAAGAAAGAATTAGTTCGTAGAAAGAAAGATATGAAGCGATTTTAATCTCATAGTTTAAGGGAAGACAGATAGTGTATACACCGACGCCATTGTGATCGGTTCTGAGCCACGTCACCAAGAGTCTCCAACCATTGGTTACGATAGTCACGCGACCCCAACCAAGTAGTCTGCATCTACCGACATGGCTCAGACTAAAAGTTAGTGACTTCAAGCATTGATGCCACGTTTTAGTTTGGCCGCCCCTAACTTTCTTCCAACCATCTCCAACATCGGTTAGCATTGCACGTCGTGGTAATCGGTGTTCAGACATACGCAACACGTGGCCCAACCATGTCAGTCGATGAAGATTCATAACCTCATCAACTGATTCACCATCATTCCCTAATACCCTGCGTCTAACATCACTATTACTTACCCAGTGATCCCAGTAGATGCGAGCAATATTTCTAAGGCATCTGTGGTCAAATACTAGTAGCTTACGAGTGTCTTCTACTCTTAATGGCCATGTTTCGCTGCCGTAAATTAAAACAGAACGAACTGCCGCGTAGTATACTCGTCCTTTTATTGATAGACGGATATCTCGTCTTCGCCATAGGTGACGTAAGTTGGCAAAAGCCAAGCGAGCTTTTCGAATCCGTGCTGAGATTTCGTCAGAGACCAACCCATTAGGACTGATCAGACTTCCAGGATAAGTGAAGTTGTCAACGCGTTCTACTACTTCACTCCGTATCCTTAGTTCAGGTGTTGACGCAGACCAGTCCTGAAGCAACAACTTGCATTTAGAGCGAGAGAAGCGCATTCCAAACATTTTGGCATTGTTGCTTAGTGCTACCAAAAGACTGCATTTTATCAGCGTCTTCACAAAACAGGACTATATCATCTGCGTATGAGACTAACCTTAAATGGATGGCTAAAACTTTGATTTATAAAAATCTCAGTTGTAAAAATCAGTCTTTCGTAATAAGAGAAGAGCCTAAGAGCGAATGTTCTTTGACTTAATATGACAAGATGACAATAACAAGATGAATATAATTGGGATGATTTAAAGATTCAATTTTTAAACAAATGTTGATTTTTAGATCCATGTTACGAATTTCTTAGTGAGAAATTAGCATATAAGTAGAGTTATTAAAATCACAAATCGGATTGAATGGCATTGAATGATAGACTAGCTATTATGAACTGAAAAAATTTTGACACAATAACTGAATGATAAACTTGTTAATAGAAAGATTTGAATATTTTAAGCTCGGTTTAAATCGAGTTCATGGCTGTTGGTTAATGAGTTCGAAAGTACAGTATAAAGGCTGTTTAATGATCCCTAATTTTTGGTAGTTTCTACACAATGTCAGTATACTATGAACACTATACTGAAAGTTTCCTTTTTATTATATTACCAAAGTATTCGTACCTACAGAAGTTCACGGTATATTACCTTTGAAACATGCTTTTATCGTTCTTTTTTGTCAAAAATTCCATCTAGTTGTATTCGAGTTTTCAGTATTCCATGAATTGCTTTATAAATGTCTTGATATCGATTTAGGATTAAATAATTTTTGATTTTTTTTACCTGTGTTTTCTAATCACTGTTACAATTGTCATAATCAAAGTTGAGTTTGACACAAATGCTCCAATGGTAAGTTTCCGTAACGCATTAACGCAGTTAGATGAAATTAACAAGGGGAATACAAAAGGAGTCAAAATAATAGAAGTAGAAAGTTTAAGAATTAAAGAATATGGTTCAAAAAGAAGGAAGAAAAAGGATTATATAGAAAAATATTGAAACATTGCTCCAAATAATCTATTTCAAGATTGATGAGTGAATTTTTTTAAATGAGCCAATTACCTCAAATGCACGTTCGATTAATTCAACCGACGGTAAGCATGTATCTTCTTCAATAGAAAAAACAGCTTCAGTTATTATTTGTCGATAAGGAAAAAATCGACCATTCACTGAACCATAAGCTGAACGAACTACACTTAAAGGAACTATTAAAGATGGCCATAATGTAGCTGAAATTGCAACAAGAAAAAAAATCCCCAATAAGTTTGGAACATAAGCAATACAATTCAAAGAAATTCAATTTTATCCGGATTCACATATATATTTTACAGGTTGTCTGTACGGAAATAACTTCCCATTTTTAATCAAGACTACTAGATGCCACAAACTACTTTTCCTTTTTATAGTCTCGGTTAATCCATATAACAAATATCGCTGCAACTCATTGAAAGAGATCAACGAAAACTTATTACAACAAACAATACTGGTCTATCCCAACTAAAGGAGCACAAATTATTAGAAGTTGGATCACGTTACACACTATACTTCATGGAAATTTCGATGTCTAGAATGGATATATATATATACGTCAATAGATTACAAAAACTGTTCTTTTTGTGACATCCAATTTTCTTATGCCATCCTCGATCAAATTATTAGATAGAGTGGAATAATACAAAGACGCTTCATTTTTATTAGATCACTGACCTTCAAATTTACCCGATGACAAGTTTCAAACAATTATAAATAGCCCTGAGTAGTGACCGCAATTGTTCATATTCCTATTGGTCCGGAACACAGCTTCGCTATATCCGCCAGAATTCGAAACACAATAAGCAAACAATACCCCTACTATTGTACATTGAACACTTAGAGGACTATGTACATTTATTACCTGACCACAACACACAATAAATAAGAAGTCTTAGTTTATACACAACTAAGTCATGAGTAAAAAAGAATGGAGTAAAAGAGGGATATTTAATTAGCGATAATTTAGGAATAGTTAAACGTATATAGATAGTATAGTGAACGGAAGCTTATAAACAAGACAACTTAAAAATACTATAAATGAATTAATTACTAATTGTATAGTAAAAATTGAGATAATAACTCATCATGCAATAATTTTAAAAGTTCCAACATCCCCCCACCTTAATGTTCACTTAGTTCTAACAGTTCTGAATCCAGTAAGAGGACATCCTAATGATCAATGTGTCACACTTATTTACAAATGTTGTTCCGTTAAATATTTCAGAATGAGCATAAAATATATGTAGTACTACAGTTGCCAAAACACTAAACGGAGAATATATGTAATTAATCAAAACTTACAATCAGGGACTGGATATATTTTATTTGTCCATACAACAACAATCCGTCTCAAGGATTTTACAGACTGAATCGATTTTAACAAAATACAAAGTAGTGTGAAATGATTATGAGCTCGAATGAGAGCAGTAAATCCAGTACGTGTAAAAGCTTTAGCAGGGTAAAATAATACTGGAGATATAGGTAGTCCAACCTGAAATGGGAAGATTGGGAAAAACATTTGATATAAAAGAATAGATAACGTTCACAATTAAAATAACCTACAAACTATACAGTCTCTACAGAATCCCTTAAACAAATAATTGTGTACCTACAAGAAGCCGAATTCGACACGGATTTCCTGAGATTTTCATAAGAGGTTGTGAACCATCGACTCAAAGATGATATAGAATGACAATAACTAAATCTTAAGTCGATTGACGTTGGAAAATGCTGAACACTCGATTTTAGTGGCGAAACGAGTTATGATTATGGTAACACCTGAAAGTTACGGATTCGATCCCGTGTAAGGTGGTGAATGCTAACAGTTAAGCAACGTGGAAAGAGACAATCGTTTAACGCCTTTTGGTTTGTAACGGTCTATCCACCATTAGCTCGCAATTAAAGATTAAAATTGAATAAGTCAGTAATTAAGTACACGTTCATGTGTTCAGCAACTTTGAATTGCACTATTTCGGGTAAGCACAAATGGAACTACCTAATTAGTCAAACTTAACCAGATGGAGCGGGGTTCGAGCTCAGTAATTGAGAATCAAGTGTCATTTAACTATCAATGTAATGTACTGTTTGGGAACCAGTATTTTAATTTGCAGAGAACATAGTATATTTACTAGTAATGGAGGCTAGTTAGAGACAATTTTTCCCTTTAAAATAACAACAGATGAAAACTCACTAACATTTGTTCTTATAAGCATATGTAAAGCGCTATCGAACTAGAACGAAACATGCTACAATATGGTGCTAGCTGAAAACAATAGCAAATCTTAGAACACAGAAATGGTAAGTCTACTGTTGAATACTGTCTAATTACATACCAATTTTGAAGAGAGTAGTTATACTTATAATTGGCCTTAAGGCCAATTGGTCTTGGTGACTTACTGACAAACGAACATGTTAATAATAATTATTAAACATATAATCACACATTTTGGTCATTAGGATAAACTGCCAAGTCACCTATAAAGATATGTTTACCAATTTTTTAAAACCGGGAATATATTGTGAAAAAATGAAATCTTAACAACAAAGAACATCCAGTTCAGAGAATCTTGCACTAACAAGATCCTCTAATCCAAAAACTTGCTTGCTCGTAGATAATGTTTAATCATAAACTACAACATTCTGTAACTAGCCAATAAAACACAGTGTCAAAGTAAACTGAAGCTGCACGAATACTACACATATCTGAACAACATTGTTGATATAGGTCAATAATTTTTGCAACAAATAAATTACGTATAGTCCTCGAAATTTTAATATTAATACCTATTTACTGAATTAATACACCAAGTGGTACAGAATGTCATAAAGAAACTATTGATGATTGTTAATGTAAAGATGTCTAACATTACTCTAACCAGATCTGATATGAAATAATAAATGCAACAAATTGAAATCAAATAAGAAAAAAATATTTAATGACATAGCTGAACGGTAATTATGATAACCGAGAATATTTATAGCTTAGAATATGAGTGATGACAATTGTCTGATACTTTTAGTGCATTGTACTACTCTGCCCCCAAATGCCCTGGTACGGCCGAGAGTGGGGAGAATCTGCTCTCCCCCTCGAAATGCTCTCACATGGCTACGCGTATATAGCCTTTGCCAGGGAAGCCCTACTCACTGCCTTTTCATGGCGGGAGTGTTGTTTACGAAAATGAGAGGATGAAAAACGAATGTTCGGAACTTTAACCGGATTCCAAACCAATGGTGCACATGGGCTCCAGTATCCTGCGGGAACAAATGGTGTATGAACCAGTTGTTGGTCACCGGCTTCCATGGGACTGCATCTCCTTACGATGCCCCGCTGCCCTGTGGATCAGACCTTTAGGTCGAAGACTCCGGGTGTGGCCCCTAGGAAAACCACCTGCTTCGGTTTGGGCAGCCGGGCAATATCACAGCCCTCACAGATATCAAATGAGATTTGTGTGGCGCATATGTATTTGATGCCTCCTTGTAAGAATATCTGTGTTAAAATAAATAAATTGTACTACTCTGATAAATGGTGATATCGTTGAAGGGAAACTGTTTTTCTTTTGATGAACTGACTTTATTTTACCTAATGATATAAAATGTTTCTTTTGTTACTTTAAAATTGGCAAAGAAAACTAGTAAACTAGGAAAAAAATTTAGTGTTAATATTAAAATAAATGAATAATCACCTTAGAATAATTAGGATAATTCCATTCAGCATAAGACCGTGAATATTGAGGAAATACACGATCATTTAATATGTCCAAAGTGGTCAATATAATTTTCTCTATTGATGAAAAATAACGTTGATAAATAAACATTATCTGTTTTCGAAGGAGAGATTTTTCTTTTGATGAATATGTTGATAAGATGGATGGAATCTTTTGAAATTTAACTTGTGGAATATGAATAGCAATTCTAATTTATTTATGGTAGAGAAATAAAGATTTTAAAAGACTATTTCAAGTATAACAATTATGCATTTTTTTTTAAAAAAAACTGAATTTATCCTAAAACATTTAGAATGATAGTTTCAACCAATTGAAATGATCACAAATGAAATGTTCTGCCCAGGTTTATATTCCAATAATAATGGGGAAGATTTGTGGTTGAAGATTTTAGTTAAGTTCCATTCCAACTAATTAGTGTTCATGTAAATGAGGAGAAGTAGGATGGTTACTTTGACTGATGTAGTGATTTTACAGCTAAAACAGTTTATCAATTAGATGATGTTTGGCACATTATATTTTGTCAATGGGTTATTCAGTTTACACAACATTCATTCAAGTGCTTTTGTTGGTTTGTACGTCACATTCACTTGCAATCGTCTAGATAATTTGATGGGATTCTCTATTAATTCATTTATACATGATAAAATAGTTGATTTTTCGGCTTCCTTAATAGCTTTCTTGCTTAGTTGTGAAATTGATAAGCACTTTTTAAAAATGCATTTGCGTGGGTAAAGGTTTTTCTGAATAAAGGAATAGAACTATTTTATCAGTAGTGAAATTTCTTCACCCCTCCCTATAGCACCAATGTCAACTATCGTCCAATGACATTAAAAATGAACTTACTGTTGACTAGTGCTTGAACAGAAATAAAAATGACAGTAATTTGTGGGAATATTTACCAGTTTACTTTATTTTGAGCAACATTAATCTAATCAGTATGAGTCAATTTGTTTCGAACATGGTCACCTACACTGAAAATGTGTTTCAAACTGTCTTGTTACTAGTAGCGTTTTCATCGCCTGAGACTTTGAAAAATCACTGTCAGAAGATTTCAAAGAGCACCTGCCTGGCAATTAGAGGTTTTTAATCCTTACTCCCATAGGAATTTGAACTTCTATATAACATTTATGTTGGCAAAATGATTGTAGAGTTGCAACGAGTAACCGAAATCCTATTTAAAAGAGGAGCTAAGGCAATAGCTGCTTCAATAACAGAAGTTTATACAAATTTGCATCACTTTAATCTTCATGTAGAGCGAATCTAATTAGTAGCATCATTAAGAGGGTATATTACTGAATGGATTGTCTTCAATTTGAAATTAAATAGTTGAGAATGAGACTAGAGACTATATTGGTGTTGTTTTGTTTGATATTTGAGGAAAAGGTGGACAGATAAAGAGAAATTTTTAACCTAAACTAATATACCTAACAGATTTTGAAATTTTTTTATCAATGATTGAATGCCTCATTTCACAGATACGTATGAGATCAGTTAATACTGAAATAATAAAAATGACCAAATGAATTACGGTTATCTGTCTAACTTCTCGAAAACACACTAATACAAATTTCGTAAAATCGATGCTTAACAAATTGTGAAGTACCCAAATTCTTTGCATAGAGACAATGAAACTTATAATATTTCATAGAATAATGTATTCAATCAAAAAGACTAATTCTATTCTACAAATTAAATGTATCATATTTTGGTTTAATTTTTTACAAGTATCGGAATTAAACTTAGATAACACATTTAAGATAATAATCGTTGAACTTTTCTCTAAATTATTCACTCTTATTTAAGTCTATATGCATTGTGATATTTCATAGCAACTCAAATTAATTTGTTGACCCCAACAAGTTAGAAAACCTAAATAAAAAAGACTAAATATCAAAGAAACATTATTTTTCTTAATTTCATTCATTCTGTTATGTCCCGATAAGCATAATAAATGGTAACTTTTGGGATCCATTTATGGACCAATACTATACGTATATTTTTATCGTGTAATTGTTATGTAACTAATCTGTTCATATTCATGTTCCTCTTATTGTGAGCTTTATTTTGTCCTATGAACTATGATTCTACGATTTACCATTCTTGAATTATTCCCTGTCTATTCATTACTACCTACAAAACTCGCAGCCACTTTTGGCTGTCTTGTACAAATGTTGCTTTATATTTTATGGTACGATGTGGTCTGTCAGGTTGGTATATAAACTCAGTATGCTTGAAATAAATGATTCATATTGCAGAGGCTGAAATGGGTGTTCTGGACTTAACTGGCTGGGTTAGGCAGGAAGCAGGACCAATAAGGACTCTAGACTACTCGTACGGGTTTTATGCGTCCGATAGATAATTCACTGCCCTCTAATTGACGGTATCTTTGCACTATACATTAACAGGGCATACAGGCCAACAGTTATAACACATCCACTCATAAAGCGTTACAAAAAATATGGTAATTTGAAATCTAAAATTAAGAAAACTAACTAATGTAGAATTCAAAAATCTCAGTGTTACATTGATGAGATAAATTATGTCGATTGAAAAATCTTATAGACCTAGTTAGATAAAACCATGCAAATAATAGATAATGACATTCATAACTTAATTTAGATGAACATAGTCTGTCCCAATATCAGAGCATAAAAACTTAGATATGGAATAGTAGTTCCAGCTAGAGTATTCAGAGATACCTAATAAGATAATAAATTACTGTTAAGTTGTCTCTCGGGTTACATATACAAAGCATGGCACTTCAGAAGGAGGTGAGTAAATAGGACTTCTACTTATTTGATAGCCCCACAATATATTATTAGCTTGTGTCAAAGTTTAGTTTGATAGAGGCAAAAAGTGGTGAATCTCTCAAAAAGAAATCATACAAATTTTTTTGTATTCACAATAAGCGTAATATCAGAAGGGGTTTTGAGGAGATTTTAGAAATTTCACTGATTGAAATCATGAGTCCATTGAAGCTAGACCACCACGGAAAACCTAGAAGCACTGGACGGACGTTTCGTCCTAGTATGGGACTCCTCAGTAGTACGCATCCACGATCCCGCACCCCGCGAGATAAGCGTAATAACCAGGCGTTTATTGACGAGAAGTTAGAGGTTAGAACATAGTTACAAGAGTAACCTGATAATCCATTAATAAGGTATTCAACTTGAGCATAAGGAACATTCATTATCTATCGATAAATAACACCATTTAACTCCCAACTAATAATTAACAATACAACATTTAAAACATTAAAAATTTGAAGTGCCCTTCGGCACATGATTCAGGTTTCAAGTTAGGAATTAAGTTTTAAAAATTAATCAACTTACTTATACCAATCAAGAACTTCTGAGAAAGGTAAAACAATATCATCATTGACAATCACCGGGATACAACCACAAGCTAGACTATCATACAAATTAAAACGATTTAAATTGTCCGCATCAATGATCAAACAAAATTCACTAGAACACAATGATTCCGAATAGTCTATCCATTTTTCCACACCTTGACGATATGGTGATTCAGATACTAGCACAAAACGTTGATTATAGGTTGTATTAGATTGGTTTGATGAAGAGTCTAGAACAAGTATGGGGCGCACTAAATTTGAATTTGACGTGCGAGAATCTAATAGGAGGTATTGCACTTGGTAGATCAAATTTTGATCAGTTGATTGGAAAACAATTAAAAAAATAGTACGTCTGACCGGGGTTTTTAATAAGAAAAATAAGAGATAATGGAAAGCAATTATTACAGCTGATATATTCAGAGATACTTAAAAATTAACGAACGACAATTTAATTTTAAACTTAGTGTTAAGTCAACAATCCTCTAAATAAGTAATCTGTAACCCGTTGCCGTTATAAGGGATACGTAATTTCTCTTGAGATGACCAAAATAATCAGTTATGTAGCTTGTTATTGAAAAATGAAAACATTTCACATTTTATTTACCGACACAATTTAACTTTAAACAGCCAGATAACACTGACTGCTACTTTAGAATCAGTGAAAAATAAACATCTCGATATTTTTCCAAGTTAAACGACGTGTGTTGTGTCAAGGGAGTAGATGAGGTAAACTAGTTCAACTACAAACTTTTGAATAACAAACGCAAGAGAATAAACTTTTCGTCCCAGTTCCTAACTGTAGCCGATCACCTTCATAGAGCTTTGTTTAGCAAAAATGATTAATCACAAATGTTGACAGTTTATTATGGCTCGAATCTAGCTACACAAATCAAAGTATCAACGTATTGGTGAGTACGAGAGTTGACACAATGAGTGAACTGAATTTAAATGAACTTAAGCTTGTACTAAGCTCCTACGACTCTTGATCTATCCCCCTAACTACTCAAAACACAAAAAGAAACAGAAGATTTGTTCCCCTCTCCGACCGACGATGATAAGCAGAAAATTCATGAGTATTTATGTATTTTTTGGCGTATTATTGAAAACTAGTTATTCAGGATGTGAACTTTATGGCACTTAATTTAAAAGTACGCGCGTGGTCTAGCAAAAAACTCTTCCTTAGTTGATTTTGGTAGTTTTTGGAGACATAGCATTGTTCAACATAGTCAAACAAAACATCAAAGTTGTTACATGAAGAACAGTTACTCGTCAAATATGCGGTTTACCTTAACTTATTAGAATTACCATCCGATAAAATTATAAGCTCAGTAAGATGATGCACAGGTAGGTGTTATCGGTTTTCAACCACACTTTCTGTGTAAAAGCTAAGAATACTATCCAGTTGCCGAAGAAACATAATTCAAAACTGTAACCCAGTGACTGAAGGCTAAGTGTATTAACCGCTAAGTTACCGCTTATTAGCATATAAAATAAAACACAATATGGGATAAATTCGCTTAAAACGATTTATTCTAAGTACTAAGTTGACTAATGTATAAGTGTAAACACAATACATAAAAGGTAAATATTTCTAACAAATTCTTAGGTAAATTCACATAACTCAGAGAAGTTCATGAGAAATACTATGAAGAATAAAATAAAAAATACATTGAAGAGCTTTAGGTAGTGTTGAGTTCTCAGAGCTAGATGGCTTAATTGCTGAGCTTTCATTGTCCTGCTGGACAACCTCTTCAGCGCCTACTTCGTGTACAACTTTAACAGCAAATTTAATACTTAGTAAACAACGTAACTGTAAGCATAAAGAATTTCACTTTATAGAATAACTGGTTAGTAGTGATATACACTGGCAAAAAATATTAGAGAATCCATGGTGATTTTTCAGAGGAACACGATTTAGCTTGACGATTCTAACACGAAACAATGAAGCACTTAGAAATAAACAGAGAGTGCAGGTATTTTATTCTGTTTTGCAAGTCGTTAACTGCAAAACATCACTAATATTTAATGGGACTGAATTATACTAGCAAGATGTTAATGTAAGTGAATAGATGTGTGGATTTTTGAGAAATGTCGAATCATAACAACACAGTCAAACGGAGCAATTTTTCAATTTCTTAATTATGATTAAACAATCCATATACATTGAATTCTATGAAAACAACAGTGAAATATTAGAACTACATTGAAATCACGAGCCGATCAATGTTAGACCACCCTTGAAAACCTGGAAGCACCGTTTCATCCTGGTATGGAACTCTCTAGTAGTGAGCATCCACGAGTCCGCGATCTTCGGTCTCGCGTACGAACACTTAACCTCTAGACCAGCGAGTCACCATCCAACGGTGCTAATGTTTATTGAATCCACGATATTGATCTACCATCTTTAAATGTCTTCGGTGGATAACTGCCTCACACTTGACGCAGTTGAGGAGCCGTGAACAGTGATCAAGAGATTAAACGTCCGCGTGCGAGTTCGAGGATCCTAGGTTCGATTCGCGAATGTGAGGTTGTGGATACACACTGCTTAGAAGTTCCATGTTAGGATGAAACAGTCGACCAGTGATTCCGGAAATACAAATGGTGGTCTAAAATCGATTGGTTCGTGATTTTTATAGAATTCAACAATCTCCGCAACACTATGTTGATAATTCACACTACACTTTAGATCTTTGAAAAAAAACACTACATATTCAGGCTACATAAAGAAAAAATTCATTCATTCCATATTATTATTACCTCTCATGAATACGTTGATTCACTACAACAGTCAATGGATTAAATGCCGGTAGAACTACATCAAATTTCGATCTGAACGTTAAACTTGTATGACTAGCACTGGCAACAACAGCTGAAGCTGTATATTTTAATTTTTCATTTGAAAGAAAATTAATAATTAAATGATTTTTCCCTTCGTTCCAGCTTGAGTAAATGAAACAAACAAAATAAAGACACAAAAATGATTATGATAATTTCTATGAATATTTGTTAACATTTCAACGAAAATTTTGACAAAAATTCAGTGCTAATAATATGGAAGGCGTTATATTTGATGGAATTTCAATGATTGCAGTGTTTCATTCAGAGCTTCTTTAGAGAAATAAACAAAATCCGCTTTGTTATGATCCAAATCTATTTATTTAAATCAAAATATTTAACGCAATAGTAAAACGAGCGAGTTGATACAATGACTAAACTCAAAGCACATACACTTTGATTACTTTACTCAAAAAGCTCAAACCAGCAGTTGACATGTTAAACACTGAAACTATATGAATTTCAATCTCTATAATTATCTCAAATATTTTTTTTTACATATAATGATAATTTCAATAGTTGGAATCATTAGTCAATTGAAGCTAGACCACTATGGAAAACCTGGAAGCACTGGACGGCCGTTTTCCATGGTGGTCCAGCTTCAATTGACTCATGATTTCAACTATTGAAATGACTAAAATCTCCACAAAACCCCTTCTGATATAATGATAAACCGAAAAGAAAAAGAAGACAAACCTTGGCAAATGATGTAAATAACGCATAGATAAATCGATCATTTGATTATCATCTGGATAAGCATATAATAAATCTAATCCTGGGATAATAATACATGCTTCTTCAATTTGATTCACATAATATTTACTAGATATAATGGTATTATATAAGGAAATAAATTGTTGACTAAAACTTGTAAACATTAAACTATCATTTAAAGGATAAATATAAATTCTAATATTATGTAATGATTTGTCAATAATTTCACGAACACAATTACTAATATTGAAACATGTAGAATATGTACAATGTTTATTCATATACAAAGGTAATTGATAATATGATTGTTGAAATTTTCTTGTATATTCTTCATTAGAAATAATCATCATATCATACAATGAATTAAAATTGTTATTATAATAATAATAAACTATCATTGAGAAAATGATAAAACATATAAGAAAATATTTAAAACAATAAGAACCATTAACATTTGTTAACATCATTAGGGAATTTGTTAAAATTAATAACAAAATACTACCACGACCATACACCCAACAACAACAACAACAACAACAACAACAACAACAACAACAACAGAGAATATACGCTTTAATCACAATTAGAATGAATAAAGATCAACAAGATAATCCAGTTGGTCATTTTTTTCCTAAATTTAAAGTACAAGGATCTCATGGAAGATGTAGGATGACGGAACCTATAAAAAAAATAAAAGAAATAAAAAGTACAATTAACCTAACTAACAAGACAAGTAGATTTGGGATTATTGAAAAATAAATATTTGAACTAAGGTCAAAGCTTAGCAATTAGTGGGAGGGGAGGGAAAACGTTCAACTTTTAGCCTTTAAGTGATAGATTCAAACTCTATCCCAACTTAGTTCTGTTTGAGCAGCTTATTAGTACTGCTAATTTAGAAAAATAGTGTGACTCAACGAATATATACACAAGCCTGTACTTAATAGACAAGCTACTGCTAGGAAAAATCCAGGTCATCTAATTTTTGTGAATAAATGTTCGTTCATTTTGTGACAACAATAGATATCACAAGTTTCTTAATTTGTGTTGCTTTACGATCTTGACTAGTTTCCGACTCATTATTACTACTTTAAGTTAGCTAATTTGTTTATTCCAAAGTTCTATTTAGTTGTTGCATACATAGTCATTCCACTTTAACTTGATCTTTGTTAAACATCAGGTTTTCATTTATACTGCTGTCTTCTTTATGGGTTCCATCAATGGGATTATCGTTAGAGTTTTGTGAGTCAGTTGCTACCTTATCAAGTTCTTCACAGATTCCGTTCGTATAAGAATAACCTCAATTGTCCATTAATGGCGATTACCGTAGACCGAATTGAACAAATCTCAAAATAAAACAGGTACGTCAAGCGAAACTATAATCTATGGACGATCTTTGAGCGAGGCTTAGGTGGCCTTAAGAATATCCATCTACTTACTAGGGTTAAATGAAGGTTGTACATTAATGTGAGCGATTAGAAATTAGGGTTATGAATTAGTTACAGTTCTCGTCACGAACTCACTTCAGCTACAATGCCAAAATGCTGTTTATTTGTATGGATAAATGAATCGCTCGTCGAAATTCAAGGTTTGCTATTTTAAATCTTATTGGCTCGCCCATAAATTATAGTCTCGCCTGTACACCATTACTATTATTTATGTCATCAGGACGTTCAAGCAATGGATTCATGAATGGGAGCCTCTTGTTTCTCAAACTAATTGAACTAGTACCTAAAACTACTTTAAGGTAAAGTGTAAACCAATACTCGACGGTATAATATTTAAAAGGGAAAGAGCGATATGACTGCATCTACATGCACTGTATGATAATATCATAGTTAATTCTAACTACAGAAGGGTAAGAATTTTAATAATTGAGCGCATTGAAAGGAAATCAAAAACGTTTTAAAACTAACACCGCAAAAGCATAACAGCCGAAAAATAAAATATTTGTGTGTGAAATAGAAGTACATGGGATGATGATAGAATACCTACGTACATCTTATATGAAATATTACTGTTTCAAACCAATAACTTTCCCTTGATTGCTTTCTAAAAATCGTACATAATGAAACAAACGGAGAACTACGTATACAAAGCTTTCTTATGGGATTTCACTTCAGAATGTTACAAAATGTGTAACATAATGTTCCATAACTAATAACGCAGCGCACCAGATAAATGAAGTAGTCTACATAATCAAATTTTACCCTCACTACTGCTGGGACTAATAGAAATGGCTAACGGAACCACTTAAAGAGATGCTACTAGGCTAACTAAGCTTATAAGACTCAGCAAAACTAGATAAAAATTAGCGAACCAAGTATACAAACAATCATTCGGTAATGCGAGTATTTGTGTAATGCTACGCGTAACAACGAGAAAATGATAGTCAAGCTACACTTAAAATTGGGTAAAGTCTGATAGAAATTTTCTTCTTGAAGATAACTCTTCTTATTACCCAAAAGCAACATTTTAAGAACTATTCAATATAAAAAACTCATGCCTTTGTTTATTCAGTAACTAATCAAAGCATATTATGACTTAACATGGTAACTTAAAAGTAAATTTATAATAAATTATTATGCATCATTCCATTTTGGGTGAAATACCCGCCATTCTTATATATTAGTTTAGTTACGATCATACATTGTCGTAAAAGTTCACTTAGGAACATTTTAATCCCAATCTAATGCTAATACACCAATTAAAAAACAAAACAAAGATCTAACCATTCTTGTAAATATATAGTTGTAAGTCAATCCTTATTCGAGTATCAATTACAAAGAAAGAACACAGAAGTAAAATAACGACAACAAATCCTCATCAAACACAAGCTAGCCTAATGAGTGTATGTGCAAATGTCGGTCAACATACATGACCAATGAAACCAAACATAATATTTCCATTAAAAAAAATTAATGATTTCAAAGTAGAAAATATTTTATTGAATAAATATTAATTTACAGATTACAAATTATCAGATGTATTGTAAGAGAGCTTTTTGCGTTTGGATTGATGAACGCATTGATTGATAGATACACAATGTTTACATTGATCGCAATGAAATTTCTTTGCAGGTCTACAACGATTACATTTATCACAGTGTACATAGGTTGGTCCATGCTAGATTAGGATATTGAAATGGAAAATATTCATATAAATACTATATTTTTATTTTGAAGTTGATAGGAATTACTCATTAAATATTTTAAAAACATTGGCCACCTATCCGTAAAATAATTAATTCTGCTATAGAGACTAAACGACTGAGAACTAAGGCAAGATTATGGTATACTAATGCGCTATCAATATTTTTCAGTGGAAAATGAAGAGAGTATTATTTGGGAATTAGATAAATAATCTATTCACCTGATACTTGGGTACGAGCCAAACTCAAGGTGTAGTAGCTAGTGATACTACTCAAACTGAAGTGGGAGGAGTGGAGTTCATACTTGGAAATTAGTGGATGAAACTTAAACGCTTAGCCATTGAGTCACCGCCCCACTATTTGAAAATACCAGATAACCTTTTACATAGAATCCTGATACATTAACATTACAAATCAGCGAAATTTTATGGTAGTGATACTTTAGTGAGCGAAATTGTGATTACAAGTAATTGTATGAAAGAAGTAAAAGTTATGGACACTGTTCGAAGAACAGTATGGAAAAATATGACCAGATATTTCTCCGTGTGAAACCATTTGGGGCCTGTTAACTTTAAAGAAGAAGTGGAAAAAGATGTGTATACTTATTCAGATGCTTAAATATTACCAGGTCATTAAACAGTTATTTATGTTATAGTAATATTGGATAGTGTCCTTGGATAAAACTCACTTTAGTTGTGCAACGATCACATTTAGGACAGTGTAGATTTGTTATGTGCGAATAACGTTGACAAATTTCACAAAACCTAAATGTCAAAAATAAATCATTGTACTTGAAACCATAATATGAGTTTATAACAAGGAAAAATTTAGTGTTAAGGAGTATTGTATAATCGTTTTTTCTGGTTTGACAACTGAGAGTGTTATGTACCGATTAATTCTCAACCATAAACTCATGAAGACACAGGAAACCAAAACTAATGGATTATTCTTTGAATCGCTGAGGATTTTTTTAGTTAAACTTCGGGAATGGACTTGCATTTCTAATCATTTCTCCACTGATACAAATATATTCACATTTAACCTTAACTGGGTGGTCGTTTTTGTTTGTAATGATGAACAGAAATCCTCCGATGATAACCATACAGAAACCAGATATATATATATAGTCTGAGACTAAATAAACATGGAACGACTAATTGGATTTCGGGAGGAGAGAATCTCGGGAAATAAGACATATTAAGACTGGTTATGAGTATTTTAATTGAACTTTCATTTTACATCACGTTTCGTAACGTACATATGATTGTTTTCGTCAAGTTGTACTTGCAATACTTACCTCAAAGGCACTTACAGTAGTATGCTACTGGGAGATGTATAAAAAAACTTCGTTAAGTTACTGAGGATTTGAACAAAAACATATTTCATTTTGAGCAACCAAGTATTGTAGCCATAGGACAGAATATTGTGGTTCAGAGTCGGATACACAGACCTATACTCTGGTAGTCACGCCAGATACTACAACGGGGAATCACTTGGTATGGTGCTCATCAAAATTGCTCGCTCTCCTCATTTTTAAGATAAGCTATTACAAGTAAAAAATCATATGATCTCTCGAGATTTCATCGTTTATCTGGATGTCTTCAGGTTAACCTGTATTGCTTAGATGACGTAACTTGTAGCTGAAGTAATAAGAATATAACTCAATTACAAGATGAAGTTTAATGTTCTCGGTTTGAGTTACACCTTACATGTGTGGGGGCTAATGATACTACAGGGATCTCTAGATGAAAGGTAATGATGAAATTAATACAGTGTGACACAGAAACAGCAATAACTGTTTATGTTTATTCTATTGGTTTATTTTCTACAACTTAATGGTTTGCTCGGTTCTACCTTATATCTATCTGTACCTGTATTTACACTTGGTACGCAAAGTTTGCATATTTTTTCTACAGCGAAGAGGCTTCAACTGAAACATTTACGTACCAAGTCGCGTCCTTACGATTATCCAGTCTGCACTTTTGACAATCAACAACAACAAAAAATGTCATTCAGTCTATATACACTAAGTAACTAGGACATACCTGAAACATTTCTCTATTGATTTAGGTGGATGGACCAAAGAAGGAAGTAAACTTGTAAACAAGCGAACAATTGAGTCGCGCCTCTGTCCTTTATTTGAATGATCACCAATTTTATTAGTTAAATCCCTGTGGTTTCGATTATCAGTGATATCACAATCCAGTCTTGAGTGGTTTTCATAAGTGATCTTTACGTGTAATAGTATTAGCAACACTGTTGATTACTTTATAATCCAGCAAATTTAAAAATGGGGCAATCTTTTGCAGCTTTTTCTCG